TGGCGACAAGTCTGAGTCTCCATCGACCTAGCTAACACCATTCGCCTCACCCTGGTGATTCCCTCAGAACTCACCCCACCCAACTTACCGGCCCACCCAAGCGGCTTCCGGTGTTTTTTCATGCAAAAGACCTGTCTCAACTTGCACTGAAGACTTTCCTAAAATCTCTAAGGTTTACAAACTCCAAACAGTGTCTAGCCTCAGTGAGCCCCATACCTTTTGCTAAGTGGCCCCAAGCTTGGCACTAGTGGCAGCCAGCCTCGGTTTACAGCTTAGCCTCTCCCAGGCACCTCCAAGTCCAGGACAAGCAGCAAATATCTGCAGATCACTTTGGAGCTCATATCAGGTAGCCCTGGGCTGGACAAAGGCAACATCTGACTTTAGCCTGCACCAGAGCCCCTCCCAAGAGGCCACAGAACCAAAACACCTATTGACCAGCTTCAGACCCCACCAGAGCACCACTCAACCACCTCCACAAATGACATATCCAAAGGGTGGACTGGGCAGGCACTAAAGCCCTGCTAAAGTGAATCCTGCTCTGTGAGGTCAGCCTCTGTACAAATAGCTCATCTGCTGGAGTCACAGTCATTCCTCACAGCCAATCAGCCTGAGGGTCACTCTCTCCCACTAACATGCAAACAACAATCAAGGTTCAACTACAACAGGAGGACACATACAACCCATACAAGGTATACACCTGAAATACCCAGCTCATATATATCCCTGATTCTATCCCAGTTTGGCCTTATGCCCAGTAGCTGGAAACTCTATTGAAAGAAGGAGAGCTTGGGTAATCTATGTTCAGATAATTTAAGAGAGACGATATGAAATGTGCATGAGTAGAGTCATGCTTGAGGTATAAACCTAAGCTTCCTCCTTCCCCCATTCCCAGATAGCTCGTCTCCTGGAACAGCAAGCTGAAGGGACCCATGCACTCCAGTCAGTAAGCTGTTTTATGCTGTTCCTTTTAAGGTAGTCCTGGTTCATTTGAAGCAGATTTCACCAAGGTCCAAATGTTAATCCAGGGTTAGAGTCCTAGAGAAGGGGATATGGTACCAGAATCATTACTAATGTTATCAGTACAGGGAGGGCCCTGGCAATTATTTCAGTATTAAATTCCCACCTTCCAACCTCTCCAGAGAAGGTATCAGCACTAAATTATTTGAATGCCTGTGGATATGCCAGACATTCTTAGACCTTTTACATGTGCATCTCACCCAGGCAAGTAACATTTTAGACACAAAGTGACTGAGGCTTAAAGAAGTAAAGAAACTCTCCCCAATTACAACTGGCAAGTAACAAAACTGAACTCCCAATCAGCCAAAAACGAGGACCACAAACCATGTCTATTCAACATAATTTTTATTTCATCCAAGGCAAAGCTAAATAAAATTCTACAATGCAAAATATGTTGTAAAGGCAAGACTGTCTGATCACATCCATTTTGTGCTTGAACACCAGTGAGTGCTAAGAGTGTGCAAAGCTGCGCCTCCTGGGGACACCCTGAACCTGAGGCCTCCCAAGGCCCCCTACTGCATCTTTTTGATAGGAAATTGACTATGGATATTGTTGTCATCCAAGCCAGAGGAATAAACCATGCATAAGATAGTCAAAAGCACTGCATATCAGATCGGCGGTGGGGGAGTAGGAAGTCCAACCTGGAACAAAGTGAAGCAAGCTATAGGATTTTCCCAAGAAGTCTCCCTTCCTTCACCCCTTTCCCCCAGCCCTTCTATGGCAGTTGTCTGTGACAGTGAGATGGAGTCATGGAGTTATGGAGTCCAGGAGTATAGCTGGTTTTCTACTCTGTCTCATCCTTTCTCAGCCTCTAAGTGCCCCAACAGATATAGTACAGACCAGGAAAGAGAACTCCTGAAATGTACAGTCTCTCCATCTCAGGCACACTCAGCCTTTACACACACCTCCATGCATCCCCTCTCTATGAACAACCCACCCACTCCACAGTCATGCATTTCCACATGCACACTCCACACCCACTCCAGACGTGTACACCCTCAACTGCCACCATCTCAGAAGCATGCTTCTTCACCTCTAGTTCTAATCAGCAAGCCAGATGTAAAAAGCCTGAACTCCACTGGCTCCTCTCCCAGACCTCTCTAGGTTCATTCTGACTGCCTTCTGCTTAATTGCTACATGGAAAGAAACCCAAGGCCTCAAATGCTGAGGCCCTATTTTGAGGTCAAGGATGGGGAGGTGAGACTCTGCCTGTCTTTGGTCTCACTGACTTTATTGTCAGCACAGCTGCATGCATCCAGGGCTCCCAAGATCCACTTTGTAAATGGCTCTCTCTGACCCACAAGTACTGAAAACATCCTAACCAGCCTTGGAGACTCCATACATTGAGAGTCTGCTTGGGAAGATGGCTTTCCCCATATATGTCCTACTGCAAATCCATGTCAGTGTTTCTTCATGGATACAATTGGGGCAGGACAATTCTTTGATGTGGGGACTAAAAATGTTAAACTTAATCCTCACTCACAAAATGCCAGTAGATAACCCCAAGCATTGGGGCAACCAGAAGTGTCCTCTACAGCCCCAATCACTTCTATTCAAAACCAGCAACCAAAATCCATGAACAAGAAGCTTTAAGGATCAGAGCCAAGGTTTATAACATTACACAGACTAAAATAATTCCAAGGGGGAGAGATGGAGGTGGGGGCGTGGATAGGACTCAGAGAAGAGGATAGGACAAACTTGAAACATTCTACCAATTATAAAACCTGGCTTCCTAGATCACTTTCCAAAAATCCAATTTTTTCTTAAACAAAAACTCACCAAGCCTCACAACAGTCCTGTGAGGTAGGTATTATTACACCCATTTTATAAATGGGGAAATCTGAGCCCAGAGAAGATGCATGACCTGCCTATTAGTCAACAGTAGACCCAGGAGTGGATAGATTGATGTTCTTCCTCCCCTGACTCTATATACCTGGGCCCCTCTCATGTATGCCTCTCCTCAATAAGAGGAGGCCAAGACAATGCCTAACCAAATGTTGAAGCTGGGAAGGGAGAAAAAAGGAGTTTTGCATGATGGCAGCTATAAAATTTTTCCAAATGGCTGGTGGCATTTATCTGTCTGTTCCCAAAGCCAAGAAAATCTGAACCCAAGCCCAGGATGAGTTCTGGGTGGAGAAAAACAAGAGAGATGGAGGCAGATCAGAGTGGGACCCTGTGAGCACATCAGGTTGGGTGGGGGCCACAGGCCATAGCCATGGCACCCCGCAGGTGCTGCTGTTCCTCAGTCTCTTCCCCTCTCTACCCTTGAGGAAGCTTGCTGCTGCTTTTTAACAGTGAGAATCCTAAGGCAGTCCCTATACACTCTGGAAAAGGGGGCAAAGAACAGTGTCTCAGAAATCCTATAAGAGAATGATGGAATGGGAGCAGATGGTGGAGAACCTCCATTATCACAACTCCATGCCATCCCTCACTTCCCCATTCCCACCCCACAGGGACAACACAATGAGACTTCCATCAGGAGGGCCTACTTCCAACATCATTGTAACCCTTGTCAGGGACCCCCATGGGAGCACTTGGCAGATGTCTCCAAGACTTAGTTACCGGTCAAGGGGCCTCTGGTGACACAATTCCATCTCCCTGGTCCCCTGCATGATCCTTGGTGGGAGCCGTTCCCTCACCAGTGCCAAACCAGAGTTGGCTGCTGTGTATGGGCTGGAGATGGGAGGGAGGGTCTGAGCTAGGACCTGGGAGCTAAGGCACAGCCTAGCCCCATACACAAGAGTATGCAAACCAGTTCTCGGAAAAGAGAAGGAAAACTATGGATGCTCCCTCCCTGCCCCTCTCCAGCCCTGGGATGGGGGAGGTGGTAGCACAACTAAATAGGAAGCAGCCAGAAAACCCAAGAGCCCTCTCATCCAAAAGAAGAGGATCCCTGAGGTGAAGGCAAGCCCTTGACCTGGGGTTGGAGATGAATAACCTTGGGTCAGGGGAGAAGGTGTAGTAGAGGGGCACGAGAGGAGCAAGCCAATGGGAGGGGAGGATTTGAAGGTGCAACACTTCAAGCAAGATGACATCACCTGTGGCTTCAGAGAAAGAGCAGGGCAGAGCCAGGCTTGGGAATTCCCAAGAGTAGTGATGGTTCTGCCATGCCAAGAAGGGATGGCCAGCATTGGCAGGGCTGAGGTGGGCATTCTGGTGGCCAAGAGGCCCAGGACACTGGCTCTCCCATATCTACAGCCCTGAAATGCTAGGGAAGGTGTAGGCAGTGCCCCAATACTCCAGCAAGTCCTGAGGGGGCCCTTCATGAGCCCCTCAGGAACTCAGAGAACAGAGGAGCAGGCTAGGTGGACCAGGACCCCACAAGACCAAGGCGGCCAGCTCTAGTTGGATAGGTGCAGAGATTCTGAGCAGCAGGGGTGAGGGGAGCAAGGGAAGTGGGCACAAGGCAGGCAGGTACCCTGTGGTGGGTGAGGGAGGGAAGTGCCTCCTCATGAAAGGGACATGGTAGGGAGTTCAGGAATCCATCAAAGCCCCTCACTGTTGGCTCCCCTCCAGCAGCCTCTCACCCCAAGATGCTGTACAGAGTCCTCTAGGCTACTCCTTCCATCAAAAGGGTTAATTGTCTAAACACACAATACAGCTACTGGGGCAGCCTTCACTAATTCTTCCAAGTCCCTCTTGAAGAGAAATCTGGTGGAAAATCCAGACATTGTTTATACAGGGTGGGGAGACTTAAGAAGACCCACCTACCCAGATAGTGGGGGACCAGCCCTCCACACTGCCTGAGCCCCTCCTTTTCTTTCACAGGAGCTTCCTCCCCTGACCAGCCCTTATCTCTGAGGAGCCCTGGCTGGGGAAGGGGTGAGGCAGGCTGGACAGAACCTCAGTTTCTCCCCACCCAGAAAGACTACAGTTTGAGCCAAGCAGCAGATGTCTCAGGCACGTGGGTTCACAGACACGGCTCAAGCATCAGTTTCATCATCGGAAAGTGAGGTTCTCTGTGGCTGCTTGGCCCCAAGCAGAGGCTCACACTTTTGTTGGTGGTTTCTCTTCTGCCTTGGAGCCCGGCAATCCATTATCCGTATTGTCATTCCCAGAAGAACTCACAAGGCATTCCTTCCTGAAGAGGGAGAGAGGAGAGAAGGGCACTGGTGAGAAGAGAAGCAAGAGTAACAGATAAAATGTGGAGGCGGAGCCATGGCCCCTGCACCCAGCCCTTGTCCTGGCCTTCTGTAGAGCTAAGATAGCCAGAGGCCAAGTCACCTAACCTCTCTGCCTCAGTTTCCTCACTTATATAATGGATGTAACAATGACACCTTCTTTGGGGGGTTGCTGGGAAGAGTCAATGAGCATTTAGAATAGTGCCTGGCACATAGAAAGAATGCAATAAAGCTAGCCATCATCACCTAGTTGTCTCAACATGGCAGGAGCCAAAGGAACCAAGCATCGTTCCCAGGGGTCAGTGCTGAGGGGAAGCCAAACCAGGGTAATTCCCAGGCTGTGCCAACCCAGGAGAAGGGCCAGTGGGCAGTATGCTGAAGGCAAAAAGCTCCTCCCTCAGGTCCTTCTTCCCTGAGCTCATCATGACCAGAGGTAGAAGGAGCATGGATGGAGCACAGCAGGCAGGGGTTCTGACATCAAGAACAGCAGGCATGGGCAGGGAGGGGTGGAACAGGGAAGAAGGCAGCAGGAGGGAGAGATAGTTAGATGGGAAGACGCCGCCTCCAGTAGCATCACCACCCTGACTGCCCTGCACTATGGAATGATAAACTTAAATATATCCCACCTCAACAGCAGTGCCCAGCTCTCCAGAGAAGATCTGACTTTTATGTCACTCCCAGCTTTCTGCTGATGAAAACTTCCAAGGCTTTTCAAGGCAGCTGTTGCTAAACTACATCTTAGCCTCACCCTGGGCTTGTGTAGCCAGGTTTGAGGCTTTCAGGAAGGACTTGATAGTTTGTCCTCATCAATTTTGTCTTACGGGATTTAGTCCATAACTCAGCCTATCAAGATCCTTCTAGGTCCCAATTTTTTTCTCCAACACAATCACTAGGTTCCTGGAAATTTGGTAAATATATCATTCCTAGTGTAATTCAAGTCTTAATAATAGCAGTGAATAAGTAGAGTCCTGTAGCATACCACTGAAGATCTCTATTTAGATGGGTCTACCTATCGACCTGTCTATCATCTACCTCTCTGTATATATATACCTGGCACATAGACTATACCTAAGATATAGTCATCCCAGCCAATTTCTATTCACTTAACCATCCATATTTCTTTACCAAGAACCTAGTGGGTACCAGGCACTGTGTCAGACTAGTAGGGTGTACAATTCTCCATGATGCTTGCTCTCTGAAAACTTAGTTTTTTCAGGGAATGTGATATTAAATAAGTGACTGTTGATACAACGTGGTAAACAATAGGATTCGGGAGCGCTGTACCAAGGAAGAACTCAACTTAGGAAAGCTCCTTCTAGGAGTCAGGAAAGCTCTTTGGAAATGTCATCTAAGCCAAGACCAAGAAAGATGAGCAGAAAAAGAGGAAGGAGACATTCCAGGCAGAGAGAACCGCACCCATATGTGAAAGGCCAGAATTGATGATGAAATACTATCCAACACCTCACTTCTTCTCAGGAGGACATTCTATCTCTGCTGCTAATACAGGCTTTCCTCATCACTTCTTCTCAGGATCCTTCTCAGGCTTCGCTGGGGCCTGCCTCCCACTTCCAGCCTCTCCCCACCCAGTCCCTCTGGGAAGTGGGTGTGTGTCTGGAGAACAAAGCATGTTGTTTGTTGAGAGAGTGGGGGTGTCGTAGGGAGGAAGTCCCTCTGCTCACTATAGCCAGACCCTTTCTTCTGAAGGCCTCTGATCGTGCCAGGCCCTGCATGCCCTTGCCAGCTCCCCTGTAGTCAGAAGGAAAGTCAATCTCAGCCTGGACTCCCACGTCCCCAAGTATCTGTCCCCAACCCCTTTTGCAGGCTTTTCTCCCCTTCCTCCCTACGACACCCCACCTACTCTCTCAACAAACAAAATGCCTTGTTCTCCAGACACATACCCACTTACCAGACTTTCTGCCCTCTCTTTCGGTGGTTCCCCAATCTGGAACACCCTTCTCTTCACCCTCCCCAGGGCTCAAATTATATCTATCTTGCAAGGCCTACGACAAACATCCCTTTGGTCAAAAATCTTTCCCTGGTCTTCCACCATCTTCTGAAACCCCGCAGCATTCTATCACACCTCTTTTGGCACTGATCCTCTCTACGTTGTATTACATTTATTTGTGTACACATCCTTTACTTAAGGGCAGAATGCCATTCCTTCCAGAATTTCCTACAGCACCTAGCACAGTGCCTTATGCACAGTACCTCAAAAATAGGCACCCATAGAAAGAATAAATGTGTGAATTCTAGATATATCCCATGAATCAGTAGGGTGTGGTGACAATGGTATAAGTTTTGAAGCCAAAAAATCCAGGGTTCAAATTCCAGCTCTATCACTTACTAGCTGTGTGACCTTGGGCAAGTCACGTCACCACTCTAAGCCTCGCTTTGCTCAATTGTAAAATAAAAATTATGGATATTATATTCGAATGTCAGAAGACATATGATTAAGTATTTGATGAATTACAGGAACTGTTATTATCTGTAGCAGTCTCCTGATCCACGAGTGCCCTAGCCAAAAAAAGAAAAAAACTTCAGCCTACCTTGTTTTCAATGAACCCATGGTGGCACCCAAGAATCACTGTTTTGTTTTCTAGGTGCTTTTAAACCACATGTTGAATACTTTGTTCTCCAATTTTGCTCACCATCAATAGTAATATTGGTTATTAAAAACAGAATTTGGTCCTGCTCTATGTCCCTGGCCCCTCAGAAGATCTCTTAACCCCTCACAGCTCCTGGCCATGATGCAGGGAGACAACCCAAGAGTTAATCTCATTCAGTGCCTGGGATAAGGTGCCCAGTGGTTCCTCATTCCCTACCTCGAACACCCTTTACATCTTCTCTTCCTTCAGCCCTCTTACCAGTGTAATTTCTGCCCTTTCCTGCCTAATTCCCTCTTTACAACAAAGCAGAAAGAAGCAAACAGAAATAGAGCAATTCTCCCCTCTCTCATGCATCTCTCTATTACTATTACCTCTCAGGTCTAATGGCAGGCCTGCCTCATTTCATCTTTCTTGCTAAAGACACAACTTTCGACACATTTTCTCTGCTATGGCTTTGTTACAGTCCCAACTGCTGCTTTGAAACCTACCTGTTCTGGCAATTTTGGGCCTGGGGCTTGTACCCTCTGTGTCTCCCCATCTCCCCTTCCCTTTCCCATATCTATTTTTATATGTGAATTTATCCTATGGTTTTCTATGAGGCTGCATCAGCCTTTTAAAAATTGTTTTATCTACCCCATTTGAATTTTCAGGATTTCACAATAAAAGACTCCCATCTCCCTAAAGGATCTTTCTCTGGTTAAAAACAACAACAACAACAACAACAACAACAACAACAACAACAACAACAAACTTCCTAAATCCTTTAGTAGGACTTTGGTTTAGAGTGGTACAAGTAGAAAGAGAAAGGCTAATGGTATGGGCAGGAAGATAGTAGGATGAGGAAGAACGAGTGGTTTGCATTTATGTATTCAATGAATTCAACATATTCAATAAATACCTGTTGGGAGAATGAAGAAGAGGGAAGGAGATTAGTAGAGGGGAGGAGGGTTGCAAGAATAGGAAAGAGAGTGGTAGGATTAGGAAAACAGGATGAGATGAGGAGATGGATAGAAGGAGGAAGGCTGATGGGGGAGGAGATGATGGTTAAACAAAAGGATGCTGGGAACACCCACGAGATGAGAGTGGGTGGTGAGCTGGTGGGAGGAGAGAGCATGCCATGGAGTCAACTCACTTCTTCTCCTGAGTTTTCTTGAGGATGAAGGTGATGAGCTTCTTGACCAGCAAGATGAAGATGAGGAGCCCAATAACCCCGCCCACGACAGCCAGGATGATGAGTGTCACTGTGTTGTCCACTTCTTCCACTGCATGGCCAGAGTAGGGAGGGAGGGGGTAGACAAAAAGAGCAGGAGTCGCATGGAGCCAAGCACCGTGGTAGTCCAAGGTCTACACAGCCTTGAACCCCAGCATCTAAAACACGTCTACCCCAGGCCCCCAGCCCTCTCCAGGCCTTACAGCAGGAAGCAGAAGCTGGAACATGGCACCTACCAGGCTAAGGCAGCACACGAAGGGGCCTCTCTTCCCTTCCCCCTCCCCCCACATACCATCCCACAGACATACATGCAAGTTCTGAAATAATTCAGATTTAGGGTCCATAGTACTCAGGTTTGAGTCATGACTTGGCCCCCAGATTGCCACATGAGAATATCATTGCCTCTTTCTAGGTTTCCTTTCCCTGTACAGAAAAAATTAAGGCTGTTCCTATGATATCTCTCATGTGGTAGGAAGACTTTGGAGTCACATAGTCTAGATTTTAACTATAGGATTTCAGCTGTGACTAACAAACTGACAACCTTGAGCAGGTCATTTAACCTTTGTAGCCTCTGTTTCCTCATCTAAAAACTGAACTGACTTCTTTGCAAACCTGCTCCACTCACCATCTCTCCCATCTCTGTTCAAAAAACTCCATCCTTCTAGTTTCTCTGACCAAAATCCTTAGAGTCATTCTTGACTTCTCTCTTTTTCTCAAACACCATATCCAATCCACTTGAGAATCCCAATGGCCCTAACTTTAAAAAATTCCAGAATCTGACCTCTCACCACCACTCTTGCCCAGATATAACGCCAGTAACTCTTGAAAGTGTAAAGTGAAAGAAAACAGTCTACAGTCATGCCATCCTGAACACGCCCAATCCTGTCTGATCTCGGAAGCTAAGCAGGGTCGGGCCTAGTTAATACTTGGATGGGAGACCACCCAGGAAGACCGGGTGCTGTAGGTGGAAGAGAAGAGAAGAGAAGAGAAGAGAAGAGAAGAGAAGAGAAGAGAAGAGAAGAGAAGAGAAGAGAAGAGAAGAGAAGAGAAGAGAAGAGAAGAGAAGAGAAGAGAAGAAAAGGAAAGAGAAAAGAAAAAGAAAACACCAGTATGGTCCATTTTATCATTCCGTTGTAACACTGAGTTGGGTATCCCTAGTCATTTCCACTCCTCTGCCCTTGTCTCAGCCCCCACTGCATACATTTATCAACCACTTGAAGGAAGATGGTAGCCTGGTGCTGAAGATCTTTCTCCTTGGGATTCTTCACATGACAAGTGTATTTGCCTGTGTCACTGAAATCCAGATCTTTTAGCAGAATGGAGATGTTGTTCATCTTCTCCTTAGTGGAGCCCTCCAGAGTGATGCGGTCATCATTTTTCAAATGTACCTTGGGGTCAGACTTCTCATTCTTCACAGTTGCATTTATGAGCTAGGAGATAGAGGGAGGAAGAGGAAGTGGACAAGAAAGAATCAGAGTTCTTGGAGGTCATGACATCACTTCATCTCACTCCCTGAATGCCTGTTTTGTCCCAGCCAGGAAGAGCCTGTGGTCAGAGGTACTCTCTCCCTCTTCCTTTCCTTCCAGTATTGATAGTTCTGCCTGTCTAACCTGAATTTTGCCTGCTTCAGACTAATTTGGTGTTAGTCTGATCTACATCCCAGGGAGATCTCTTTTATTGAGATCTCAATATTGAGATCTCAAGATCTCAATAAAAGAGATCTCCCTGGGATGTAGCACAGCTCTTAATGCTTTCTTCATAAAAGCCTTTTATAATGAATCCTGGAAATACCACACTTGTTTCCCTCTGTCACTCCACAGACTTTGCTGACATATGTACCCTGTCCATGTGAATTCTGGCCCTCGATCAAGACCTGGATCAATCCTACAGCACTATCTGTCAGCACCCTCTAAATTCAGCTTTTAACTATACCCAGAGTTGGTCACTTGTGGCTTCCTTATATTTGTTTCAGGTCCCCTGCTAGATTGCAGAATGACTCCTCAATAAACACCTGTTGATTGATCTACCCTCACCACAGCCCTGTGTATGCTCTTGCTGATCTAGTTCTCTTCTCAGCTTCCTCTCCTTTCTTTCCAAGTCTTGTTTCACAGCCCTTCTCCCATTTAGACCTTTCTCATTCCCTCTCTCCAAGCCTTCCAAAGGTCCTTCTCATTCCTGTTTTTAAAATTAAATTATTAATTTTTACACATGCAATCCAAATTTCAGGTATCTCTACACACCAGAGGACTCTAGCCAAGAATTCCAACAGATCCCAGATTCTGGCAACATGATCTAAGTCTCCATTTCACTTAGATCTTTCTAGATAAGCTCTGCAACGAATACTGGGAGAAAGGATGACAAAAGGTGAGTTCTGGGGACCATCGCAGTGGGGTCAGTCCGGAAGGGACCAGAGTCGAGGATGAAGACAGGGGTGAAGTGACAGGGAAGAAAGGAGGATCTAATCTGTCCTGTCCCTTCCCCCACTACTTACAATCTTGAATGTATCACTACCGTTGTAGGACCACCAGAAGCCAAGGTCACGGAAGCCAAAGCAGCTGGAGAAGGTGCAGGGCAGCAGGATCTCCGTGCCGTTGACGGCGTAGATGGTGGTGGCCTTTCCCACAGACACCTCCAGCGACAGGGACACGGGGAGCAGGAAGAGACCTGTGTGAGGGGCCACCACCTCCCTTAATAAAAACCCCTCCAGAACCTCCATGCTGGAGCTTTAGAAGGGGAGTCTCAGGCAGGGCGGGGTGGCTTAGCCAGACAGAGAGGTCTCAGGTCACCCTCAGTGTCAGCTTCGGAAAGATGGTTCTCTTTACTTCAATTGACACAACCTGAGCCACCCACCATAATTTTCTCCATTTCTCTCTCCTTCGCTTAGGAGATTGAATTCTGAGCCAGTTAGCAGCCCTTGTGGCACTCTAATTGACCACCAGGGGTCACCCCAACCCAAGGAAACGAGACCCTTGCCTTGGTGCCGCGAGTCCGCACCCTCTACCCTGCGGGTTCAGCTCTTGAAAATGCCACCCCTACCCTACCCCAAGTGCAGGACGGGCTCCTTCAATTTGCCTTGGGAATTTCCCCCTAGAACAGTGTTTGGCCTCCTCGTTACATTTTAAGGATTGGCGGGGTGCCCGCGGAGTGGGATTCCATATGGTGAAGAAGAGAAAACTGCAGCCGCAGTTCCGGAACACTGCCCCGCGGCTGTCATCACTGAGCCCTGGAGACTCCTATGGGCCTCGAGGGGCGGAGAGGCAGAGGGATACTCTGGATGGACCTTGCTTGGCTATCTGAGTCCAATGCCCTCTGGCCCCCGAACGGGACCCTCAGAACAGAAGGAACAGGCCAGAATGGAGTAGGCGGTGAGGGATATGGAAATGGGGCAGGTCTCAGCACTGAGCAGCAGCGAGGGCGGAACGACTAAAGCAATCAAGGAGAGAAAGTAAGAGGGCGGAAGACACATTGGAGAGGCAAATTCCCGACAACTCGAATGCAAGCAAGTGGGAAATGGCACCAGGAGGGCACTGGACCCACAGTCCCGTCCTGGGCCGGAATAGCCGGCCTTCCCCGCACCACACAGCCCCACGCGGACTCCCCATCTTGGAAAAGTCCCCAAAGTGCCCACCTTCCCCACCACCTACCCACCCACCGGCCACATCCACTTTCTACACGTCAAAGGATTCCCGTCTTTGGGGCAAGTGGAAATCATGAGTTTCTACTCATGGCCTCTGGGACCCACCTCATGAGTCCTTATAAGAAGACCTGACCCTCTTCCTGTCCTGCAGAATCCTTGAGAAAGTCCCACTGTTACCCCAAGGTCATGAGGAAGAGGGGGTCTGAATTGGATGCCACCTCTCCTTGCTCTAGATGAAATGGTACTTGGGGTCACCCCAGGTGAGGACTTAGAGGGGGCCCTACTCAGGTTCCCAGTGACCCCTGAGAATAACACATTTCCTGGACCCAGATCCTTACTAAGTGCTGCAGGTGGGTGATCTCATTTCATTTTCACTTCATAACTACAAGGTGGGTGTTACTAATCACATTTTACAGGTGGAAAAATTGAGCAAAGCATCTTGCCCAAAGCTTTACAACTTCTAGGGGTAGTTAAAATCTGAAATGGGGTCTGACTTAGAGACTTGTCGGCAGTTGAGAGCAGCCGCCTGGCTGTATTACCTCCTACCCCAAAGTTTCCCTGGCAGCTCTTTCTAGACCGCAGCTTTTCTCAACTACTTGGACCTCCAGTCTGGCATTCCCACGAATGTCAGACCTAAAGGACCCAGACTGATCCATTAATCCCACTGTCTTATTTTAGAGACAGGACAACCAAGGCCTCAAATGGGAGGAGACTTGGCTCAGCTGACTAGGTTCAGAGGCTGGGCTGATTGAGAACCCCTCTCAGCCCTAGTCAACTTCCAGCTCTGCAGGCAATTCCCAGAACTGTTCTCATTCTCAAGACAGCCAGGGTTAGTCTTTCTTTTAAAGGTCACCAACTTTGCTCTTTCTCCCAATCCTCACTTTCAAGGAAGGATCTCTTTTGTCTAACTTTGTTCCTTCATGGTGCATCATAAACCAGTTTCCTCTTGTTTTGCTCACATGAGATAACGATGCATAGTGCACCTGAGCAATGCCTCAAAGATTGCTGGCAGCCTGTCTTCTGCTCTCAGGGCTCCCCTCAGCTTTTCATGTCCCCTTAGCTTCTGAAGGCAAAGTGGAGTGCTCTCACTTGGAAGCTCAGAAATAACATCCCATGGTCCAGAAACCCAATCATGACCCCTACCACTGTTGAAAATAGCTGATACAGTAAGTCCTCACTTCATATTGTTGATAGGTTCTGTGACTTTAAGCAAAACGGTGTATAACAAAACCAACTCTGCCATAGGCCAATTGATATAAACAAGGGTTAAATTCCTATGGCAGCTCATCAACATTGTTTCAAAACGACATTGAATGAAATGACATAGTTTGAGAAACTGATGTATGTATTTATTGAGCATTTAATCCTCACATCCACACTATGAGTGATGTACTATAATAGCTCCATATTATAGATGAGACAACTGAACATACAGAGGTTAAGTGTTTTGCCTAAAGTCAACAAGAGATATTTCTATCATCCCAAAGCCCCAAAGCAAGAAAAGACTTCCTGACATCTCAATATAGCAGGTTTTGCCCACCAGGGTTCCAATTAGTGTTCAGGAGGTTTTTTTCAATTATCCATCATTCTTAGGGCAGCTCCTGTGTGCCAGGAATTGTTCTAGAGCAGTGGCTTTCAAACTTGAGAGAGCATCAGAATCGCCAGAAGGGCAATTATAGATAGTTTGGCCCCACCTCTGGAGTTTCTGATTCAGGAGCTCTAGAGAGAAGCCTGAGAATTTGCCTTTCTAAAATATTCCCAGGAATGCTGTGGTCAGCATGACACTTTGAGAACCACTGTGCTAGAGGATTTATACATATTAACCCCAACTTTTATTAGAACAACAAAAGGTAAGTATAATTTTTCTCATTTTACAGATGACGAAAATTGAGGTTCAGAGAGGCTAGTAATTTGCCCAAGGCCTCAAAATAAATGGTGAATCTGAGTATTTACTATAAGATAGGATAAGCACTTTATAATACACTATCTCATTTAATCTTCATGCTAATCCTATGAGGTAGTTATTATTTTTACACCCAATATATAAAATGAAGAAACAGACTCAGAGATTACTTGCTCAAGGCCACACACCCAGGGAGTGGCATAAGCAGTATTCAGACTCTATGAAGGTCACTCTCCAAGAGAACAGTTCTGTCAGGGCTAGGTCTCTTTAGCATTCCTGGTTTTCCTTTCACCTCTGTCCTGCCCCACCCCATCCCCACGCCCTCCCATCCAAGGTCTAGGAACAGGAGCCAGACACAAGATTCCATCCTTCAGCCTACAAGATGACCTGGTCAGAGATCCCAGCCCTACTTCTCATCCCCTTCTCCATTGCCCCTCAAACCAAGGAATATATGCAGAGCTGTGACAGGGAAGCTCTCGGGAGAAGGCAGCTTTCTGATAACTACAGGCCTCCCTCAGGGCCCAAGCCCATGCTCTCAGGAGCGCCACAGTTCCAGCCTCCAGTGCTGACTGGCACCCCTGCCTAGGAACTGGGATCCTGGGGAAGATGAAGGGAACTCAAGTCAGAGCCAAATATCCACCCTGTCCCCAGCCAGAATGGTATATCCAAGAGCACCAAAGATACACATCAAAAGTGAAATATTTTTGACTGCTTTAAATAGAAGCAGGAAAAAAAAGAGTCTAGAACAGAGGAGAAAACTATTTCCTTAAGGTCTGGCTAATAATGACAGTGCACATTTCTACCTGATTTGTGTGTTCCTATGTGGATGACTTTACTAAGCTCAGCTCCAACTCCCAGAGTGAAGCACTGCCATTCCCTTTGTCTGAAAGGGACAAAGGAAAGGCAGAGATGCTTCCAAGAGCCTTGCCCAAGTTAAGGCATCAGAGATGGCGAGAAAGCTTGGCCTCTCCCCTGCACACCCTCATGCTCTCTCAAGTTTGAAAGCCACTGCTCTAGAACAATTCCTGGCACACAGGAGCTGACCTAAGAATGATGGGGAAGCCCTGCCTGCTATGTCTGGGAGGCTGTGCATGGGAAAGCCCGGGAGCCTGTCTCCTGCTGCTTCACCTCTGAGGCTGTGCTGGAGGGAAAGGAGGGAGCATGGGAAGGTGTGGATCCACTAGAAGCCCCTGAAGCAGTGCTTCAGTGAGATGACCAAGCCAGGAGAAGACTCTGCCTGCTGACCTTGAAAAAGTCAGAGATGCCACATCCAGTGTGCACATCCCCTAACTATAGATGGCTGTCTTTCCTTCCTCCCCACTTTGGTATGAAGTCAAAACATGAGATTATAAAACACAAGAAGGGCTTCAGTGAGTCGATCCTTCTGACCTAGGCACTCTGCAGGTAGAGAGGGATAGTGATTGAAAGAAAGGAGGGCTACAGGGCTGGCCTCCAGCACAGGCCTGGATGTAACCAGGGTACCCCTAGCTTAATGACCAGTGTGAGCCAAGGATGTCTCCAGGCCATTCACACATTGTTTTATACTTCCACCCTTTACCACCTCTTGGAGGTAATTATTTCCATGTGGTTGGTTATTTCCCTGAGTAAAGAAGGACTTTCTTTGCTTTTTCCAAACATAACTCTTTAAAATTCCAAGGTGTGCATGTGTTTGGGATCGGAGTCTTGTTTCTGGCATTGTGGGAATGTTGAACACATCGTCTTCATGAGCCTGTGGGATTCCATCCTGAACCATGAAGCTTTGCCTTTGCTCACTAAAAGGCCCTAACCATTTGGCCACTTTCAGAGCATCCATTTTATTTGCCATTCTCTGAAGTCTTCAGCCCACTCCCACCCTCATCTGGGTGCTACAGTTTTGTCTGCAGATTTACTCAGTACTCTCAACTTTTATTAAAGCAAAAACGTATTCAGTACATGCAAATATTATTATCAAATATTCTTTCCAACAGGAATCTAAGAGCTACCATCATATATTCCGAGGCAAATGCCAAAACATGAAATGGTCTGCCACGTTTTCCTATACCCAGGCATCAGTCACAACCGCCCAGCATGAGTGAGGAAAGAGGGACAGGGTGTGCCCACTCTGTTTAGCTCCAAAAGGCTCGACTGACTTTAATAGGGAAGCTGATTCCCTCTGACCCTGGAAGAGTCAGATAGGCTCAAAGTTAGAGCGAGGAGGCAGAAAGTGGGCTGAGGCCAGCAGGAGGAGAACCCTCTTGGGTTACAGGCCCTAGAGGCTAATGGAGACAGGGCTGGGCCAAGCAAGGCCCCTGGGCCCAGAGACAAAGGAAAGATTTCAGCTCCCTCTTCCTAGGCAACCTGCCGGCTTCCTGCCCACCCCCAGGAGCTTTGCCAGGATAGAAGCATGCCCCTGAGACAGCATGGGATGCTCAACAAAACCAGCTCTGCAAACAAGTCCAAGCAGTGTGCCCATCCCTCCTCTGGCAGGCCACAGAAAAGGTGTGTTGGCAGGGCCAGCCCATGGCTTATGCAGAGATCTCTAGACTCTCGGCAACAGGGAAAATTGGGAGAATCTGTGCCCAAGGTCTACCTGTCTTGCTGATCCCACCAAGAGGTGGCCGGTCATAAGGGTTTTGGGATGCCCCACAGGCCTGCATTTCCAGAAAAAGAATTAGTCACTGGTTCTAGATTCAAACCCGGGGTCTTTCTCCACTTCTTGCCTTCCTGTCCTTTTCTCTATGAACTCCTTACTTACCCTTTCCTTTTCTTTTTTCTGAGTGGGATTGAGCACCCCCTCTTTAATTGCCTTCTCATTAAACAAGCCCTTAATAAGTACATACCAAGGAAAAGAGGGTTGTGCAACATAGCACCCTCACAAGTGATAATTAAACACAGATCACAGCAATTAAGCAAATCGTGGAACAAGGAAGGGGTGGGCAGGACAGCTATATTACCAGTTATATGCTTAGGAAGGGACTGGCACCCACATAAACCTCAACTGCAATACTACAGCCTTGGAAACTTCTTCTCAATTAAGAAAAGGGTATCTTGTTGGGTTATCATAATCACTTTAGTCTCAGTCTGTAAGACAGTTTGATATGGAGAAAGGGACTGGAGGGGTAGAGGGCTCCTGGGAGATTACCCCTCCATTCCCAGTCCCCACAGTTCTGAGAACAATAGCTCTGCCCCACCCCCAGCCTCTATTCCTCCATGCCCATGCCCCAGATCTTCTCTCATTCTTTAGCCCGTCAGCACAATCCCTGCTGACCTTCTCCGCACCAGACTTTGGTTAATTGGGAGGCAAGTTAGTATGAGAGACCTGAATCCTGTCCCACTTGACTATCAATTGGCTATGCATGGTTGGGCAAGTCACCTTCCCTCTCTGGACCACGGTTTCTTCATCCTCAGGGTAGCTCTGTGCTATGGTTTCCAAAGTTCCTGCCAGCTCCGATGCTGCCAGGGAGTATCTCCAATTGGCTGTCCAGTTGTCCCCACTTCTCCCTACTTGACTTACAGCAAGGATGTCATCTGTGTCCCAAGCTCGGGGCAATGCCACTGTGAGGGCTCAGCAGTGGCTGTCTGGGCAAGGTCCAAGGAAGGACCCTGGTCACATTTCCTCTGCAAACTAGAGGGGCAGGGGTCAGAGCAGGTGGGGCCAGTTCTGGAGCCTGCTTCTCTCTCCCCTACAAATCACTCTGCTTTCTCCTGAGCTCCCAGAACGTAGCTCAGGGTTTCATCCAAACCTGCTGCAGTGGGCCCTGCCCCTACCTGGTCTACCAGCCGCCCAGTCCTCAGAGGTGGTGGGAGCTTCCACCTGGAGAAAAGTACCCAGACTCTGCCTGCAATTCCCCCGACACACACACACACACACACACACACACACACACACACACACACACACACACAGTGTACAGTGTGGTTTCCCACATAAGACTGGTTTTATGAATATTCTAACAGCCCAGGCACTAGCATCCACCATCCAACCAGGCAGCAGGTGGTGTTGATAAATGGGCTAGTTAAATAATTGTATGAGTTTGAATTCCCCAGTAACCCTTACCCCTGCCATGGTCACAGTGGGAACCTGGGCTAATCAGAGATGAGATGAGGGAGAGCTAGTGTGGAATGGCACTGTGTCCACCCAATGAGGAAGGGCCTGGGGTCTCTCAGAGGCCCACTTCACTAGGGTCACCATGAAACCAGCTGTGCCAAAAGTATCAGAGAAAACACCAGTGTCTCCTATTTAGCTTTAGGGCTGTAACTAAATCAGTGCCTCCTGAGTGAAAGAAATACGCTATCCCCCATCCACCGCCAGGTGCCAACATGACAGGTTTGCATAGTTTGCATTTGCAGAAACATCAGTAACTGCCCTTAAAGGTTGATGTCTTCCTCTTTTCAGCATAATTGTCTACATCGTGTGCCTAACCCAATGGGGGTAACTGCCAAAAGCCAAATCTGACCAATATAAACAGGAAGAGGTGCAGGTGCCAGAGACAGAGTTGGTTGACACTGAAATCCATCTATGATTTATGAGATTACATTCTGGACTAATAAATACCGTTCTCTAATCTCTTGTTTGACACTTAAAACTACCATGTGCATAGTCATAGATATTAATACTCTGTTCCTTCTGTGTCCTCTGGATGTGTCTTCTTAGTTTTCATATTCATCCCCAAAATGAAGAGCCAGAAGCAGGTTAAACAGGAATCCCTTTGTAAGAGAGACAAAATCCTTCCTAAAATGGGGCTTGACCCATCTTCCAAGTCCCTCCAAGCCCTTCCAGGCCTTACTGTGGAGCTGCTGGGAAGGCAGTGGGCACTGGAGAAGGTAGCGGGGCAGAGGAACCAAACAGGAAAAGGTCCAAGAGGAGCGTGTCCCCCTCCCCCACTGGTGCATGTCCGATGCCTGGGTAATAAGCATCCAAGTTGCAAACAGCTCTAGGCTGGGATAGAAACCACCGTCCCAATAATCACGTGCACCCCA